TAGTTTTTCAGTCATTTTGACAGCCCTAGTTAACATGACCCATTATATTAACATGACCCACAAAACAAATTCACTGCGTAAACAAGAAATAAAGAAAGAAAGAAAAAGACTTTGAATCAACATGTAAAAAATAAATAAATAAAAAAATAAAAAAAATTCAAGGGCCAGAGAGAGCAGCTCTGTGCAGGGTTGATGTTTACCTCATCTGGTGTGTCCTTGGTGTCTGGTTGACCCTGAACTGCACGACGGGCGAGAGCTCCGGCTCGGATGTTACTCAGGTTGATCTGTCGTTCTGGAGGGGGTCCTCCTCGCGGCTGACCCCTAACGATGACAGCACAACCAGACAAGACCTGCAAGGGAAAACAAATCAATGTGAGTGCTTATATAATGTTTCATAAATAGTTTATCATTCCAGTCATGTCAATAATGATGAGAGTTGTAATAGTACTGGCATAGGCAATGCATGATACAAACAATCAATCTGCAAGTCAAACACTGAATGCCTGAGGGATCTGATCGAGGCCATAATTCCTTTAGGATCTGCTTGTTTGTGTTTGGCCAACAGTTTAACAACAACTATTACACCCACTAACCAAAGATAACATCAGTGAAACAATCACTACTGTGTTAATCACAGCATGACGCCTCAGCTTTAGCAGCCCTAAACAAATACAACTTAAAGCACTTAGGGCAGGGAGACCTTGCCCCTCTGAGATCAATTATTATGTGTATTCACATTAGCATTTGAATCAGTGCTTGTTCTCTAAGATGTTTTACAGAACTAATGTTTACAAGTCTCATCATGCTTGTTTTTTGCCTTAAGAAACAGCTTTTACAGATATCTAGGAGTGGCTTATCCAATCAAATGTCAGATCACTTGCCGTTCCTCCAAACTCCTGAGACACATCTGCACCATTACGAAATGATTACATTAACTGATTGAATGATAACTTAGATTATGTGTCCATTTTAGTCATATAAGCCTAATTTATGAATACATTTCTGCTTCAGTCCTGTTTGAAAATATTTTTTATTCAAATGCAAAGCCACATGTCACAAACACTAATTGTTATCAGTGTTATGATTGTGAAAACTTTACCTAAACTTATTAAATGCCTGATAAAACAAGAAAGTGGAGGCCAAACAGGGAAGAGTTCATTCTTTCCTTTATAAAGGCCTTGAGAGCAGAAGGTCTGCCTAATTACTGACTGTATGGAAGAATATACAGACCTCAGTCACCACAGTCTGGGGCCGAAAATATCCATGAATATCCCGAATCCACCACGCTTTGATTTAACAAGGAGTTGAGCAAGACTGGGAAGTACTCTGCTCATTTTAAACAGTGAAATGACATGTTTAGGCTAAATCAAAGCTATATGAGACAGGCCATGACATTTTTATTTTCATTTCATTTTCATTTACATATGATGTGATTTCAAGTTTTCCTTTCTCTTTGGAGCGTTACAAGCTGTTCGTGAATAGATAAGATCCCTGAAGTTGCAAAGACTAAAGTCTCAAAACCAAGGAGATATTCTTTATCAAAGTTAAGACTCTGCCACGCCCCCCTAAAACGGCTCGTTCTAACACGCCCCCACATATCTAGGTCACTATGTGGGAATA